AGAGTGTGCGATTATGCAATATGACCTTGAAAAGTGGGCAACAGATGTGGGCCAATTCACTTGTTGGGGCCGCACACGACCGGCGTTAGTTCAAGTCGCGTGCTCCACGCGTTTGCATGCGGCCAGCAGCAGGAGACAGAGAAATAGGCCAGCACGGGAGTGCGACGACGGTGGCACAAGTCTGGGCTTTGTTTTCGTAGATATGTCAAGTGGCAGCCGCAGTTACAGCATCGATAGCAGCAGGCCACCCGCGCATCACACGCTTGCAGTGTCAATCAGCAAGCGCCAATCGCTATTTAAATCAAATTCAAACAACATACATACTACATATATATATACAGCAGTGCATTTATGTCTACTTGTTTGTGCCTGCATCAATAAAAGTTAACAATATCGAACACCTTATAACTTGTTACGCTCTCACTTAGCCAAATAGCAACCACCGCGGCAGGATGCTCCTTTACAGTTATATGTACATACGTTTGTATTCATTATATGCAAGCGCCAGGATTTACCACCACAGCAATTCACCAATAGCGAATAGATACTGAGAGAACATATGCCTAGCGCTCTTGCATTGTTTGCTCACCAACGAGGATCAACATGTTCCCGACCCTAACCCTTTATGGCCAACCTTCCGCCACGTTCTTCTCCGCTGCCGTCGCCGCCGGCCTCGACTCGGTCGTTGTCGTGTGCTGAGGCCGGTCAACGCTCGCTTCACAATAGCATAACTACGGGCGGTGGTTTGGTTGTCACCACCTTTGTACGTAAATCCGCTTGCTACATTACGAGGGGTTGGTTTGAGTTTAGATTTTATTGGCGGCGTTGCTGCTGGCTTAGTGCAGGATTCGGATTCGGCAAGCGGGACGAGGGTTCAGGATACGCCGGCACATGCAGGTCGCATGTTGGTCATGCGCTGCAAAATCAGTCGAACGTCGTTCGTACACACGATAAGTCACGTGTGGCTACTAGCTCCGGTAATAATTAAACAAAGATAAATACATAGCTGGCTTGGGTAGAGGCTTCAACTTGACCGCACTCTAAATTTGTAACCTGTTTATTCAACGCTGATCGAGAATATTTACTTCTGCTGCAAGACAATGGAACATAATCTACATAACACTACGCCAGTGCACTGGGGCTACGGAGTTGCTCCGGTGCCAACTACGCCGCACAGTCACTGGACTCCGCCGCCACAGAATCATGGCTTGAAACGCGCTCTGTCCGAAAGTGACTGTGACGAACTTTATTCCGAGGAATCCTCCAAGGAACAGTAAGTAACATTGATTTTCCAACGGGCGATAGTACATTCAATAATATGCTTTACCTAAAATTCAAGAATTTCGCCTAGTGAACCGGGAAGTTGTCAATTATTAACCCGTAAGAAACGACGAGGTGTCATCGAAAAGAAGCGACGAGATCGCATTAATTCTTCACTCACCGAACTAAAGCGTCTCGTGCCTTCGGCCTACGAAAAACAAGGATCTGCTAAATTGGAAAAAGCAGAAATTTTGCAGTTAACCGTGGAACACTTAAAAAATATACAATCAAAAGGTAAGCCATATCTTAGACATAACATTTGAGTGCCTGATGAGCGCATGGTATAAATTCACGACTAGCTTTATTAATGTGACAGAGAAGTGATCAAAGGTATTAAAGAGGTGTTTAAGAAGTGCAAGGAAGTTGAATAAAATTGGAATAATAAGAGTGAGACTAGTTAATGTCAAGTGATAAACGCTTAGAAAATGTAGAACAATTTTCTGTAAATTTTGAAAAGTCTCGAAGGATAAAAGTGTTAGTTTTTCTGAAAATAAAACCCGGAGTTGCCATGCTCAAAAGGATAAAACAAATAAAACCATCATTTATTGTGAGAAAAGGCGGCGAATAGATGGCGTTTTGCAGATAAAGTTATGAGTTTTTTCAAAGCAAATTGGCAAAAAATCTACATACCATGTAGCGGGCTGAAAGAATAAACCAACATGTTAATATGTATATATTATTAAAGTGAAACTTCTTTAGCGTCGGTAGTGAACTACAAAATCGCGACACTTGCAATGCAAAGAAATTGCATATCTTTTCGCTCTTCTTAATTTTTTAATATTGAGAGTAAATTATGGGAGCATGATATGCAGCGAGTTAAGGTAAATTATGGGAGCATGATATGCAGCGAGTTAAGGTCAACGCCTACTTAACGAAACTTATAACTTAAAAAATCAAAATGAAACAGATTTCGACGTGACATTAAGTTACGTTAAGTTTCAGCTGTTCAATTATAAGCAACATCCATTTAAAAGAATTTTTAAGTGAGAGCCTGTAAGTTACGTTAAGTTGCCATAATGAGAGCATAAGATTAAGATTAATAAACACACAGAGAGAAGTTTCACAATCAATCATAATCAATCATACATTCAATTTTTAACCAACTTCCCCCGATGAGCCAGAGTCTTGAAACTTCAAACTTAACTCAGAACCCGATGGCGATGCAGTATGAGAGAGAAATTAATCCCCTAGGAGGCGCAGGCGTCGAGATATTTGAAAAAACCGTGTTTATTGTCCGATTTATTTCGTATTTGGAAGGTATATGTATTACTTACATACTTCAAAGGAATAACCCCAGAAAAAATGTTGCCTGATTTGTTTCATATTTGGAACGCATATTACTTAATTGGATAGTTTTATTAAACTAAATTAATAGTTTTATATACATGTACATCAGGGCGGGTCAATTTATTCTTAAA